CAAAGTTGTCCCCCCACATGTGGAGGGAAAGCGAGGCTTCAGGAGATCCCTGCGCTTCTTCCTCAACCACTTCACTGGTATTAAAAACCAGCGGAGATTGAGTAAGAGCGCTACAACCACAGACACTTATGACATGAGTGGAGAATCTGGCAATTTCCAGAACTCCAATATATACATGTTACAAAAGATCACGGGGCCACTGCCATTTTAACCTGCGAAGAGGATTGTAGGAATGAGTGGTGCTAGATAGGGATTGTGCTACGGGATTAGGGTTATGGGTGAGGTTCTGATGAAATTCGGAGAATTTGTCTTAGGTAAGATCAAGAATAAATTGAATATTAAGGTCGTTATGCAGGGTTTTATTGGTGACATAGAAGGGAGCATCGACTATTGTACGGAGGACTTTGGACTGAAAGGATTGAATGCGTTTGATGTTATAAAATTTGGTTGTCCCCCATAGTTCAAGTCCGAAAGTCCAGATGGGTTTTAGTATTGTCTTGTAGATCAGTAGTTTTTTTTTCAATAGAAAGTTTAGATTTTCTTTTAAGTAGTCTATATAGCTGGATATAACGTCGGTTAAGTTCCTCTCTTTTCAGTCTAGTATGCGGATTACACATTAGTCGTATGTCTAAGAGAAAACAAAGGTACCGGACTGTGTCGGAGAAGGGAAGCTGGATGGTATTAAAGTAAACTGGTGGACAGGAATTACGACGAAGGGTGAAGGTTGTATGCTTACATTTGGATTCATTGACTTTGATGCGCCATTTCTTGCACCAGTGTTCAATCAGGGATAGGTTGCAGGTTTATGGACGCTGTTTTTTACTTTATTAGAATAAAAGAAACAGGATAATTATGATTACATGAAACTTCCTGTTATTCTTTACTTCAAATAAAATCCAGCTTCTTTTGTTTTAGTTTTTTTAATAAAAATATCTGGTGAACGCAGCATACAGCTGTCACTTGCCACCCTCTTCTTATCAGAAATAAGTAGTTTTAGACAAAGGGAAAGAGAAAGTAAGAATAATAGACGTTATATTTCATTGTGGATATTTTTATTTCTTTAAGTACCCTTCTATATATCTGCCTACATTTCTTTATCCTTTGGAGTTGCCCAGGGATCAATCATATCTCCTCTCCTTTTCAGTTCCTACTTTAACGACCTACATCATTCAATTCTCCATTGTTCTCATCACCTTTATGCAGACAATTCTCAAATCTACCTATAATTTTCTCCCTCTGAGTATTTGTTAGCATTTGCCAGGATCCACGAAGATCTATATCGAATCAGTGCCTGGGCAAATGTGAACGGATTAAGGTTGAATGCTGCCAAAACTCAGGCCATTGTCATTGCTTCCAAGCCCCTCCTTAGATCCTATACCGACTTTCCCATAATAAATCTTAATGACTAGCCAATCTCCTTGTACTCTTCTGATAAAAATTTAGGATTTCTCATTAATCAAACCCTCTCCTGCAATCACCATATTTCTCACATTTACCGATGGACTTTCTATCCTGAAACTATTCCTTCGCTTCCGCCATCTCCAACCTCAACACATCTCTCCCCACTTTGATTACAACTGTTTTGTGTATAATGACCTATCGGTGGAGCTCCGTGACATACTGAAAAGACTAATGAACAGCTGCGTGAGATTTGTAATTGGTGCCCCGAGATACTACCATGTCTCTCACCACTACACTGAGTTAGAGTGGCTCTTCCCCACCATTCAAAGACAATATTTCCTCGGTACGTTCCTCCATCAAATCATCAACAATCATCGTCCTTCTTACGCCTACAACCTTCTCCAATTCAACTTCTCGGTCCATTCCCTTTCCACAAGATCTCGACTTTCCGACCTTTACATTCCTTCTCACAGATCTACCTCGTTCCGAAACTCCTTTATTGCTAGCTCTGTGAATTTCTGGAATTCCCTTCCCATAAAAATTCGTCATTCCTCCTCCCTATCTACGTTTAAAACCCTCCTATTCCAATTCCTGTCCCAAAAACTGTCAGATACCCACTAACCTTCAATGTAAAATTACATTATTACATTATTCATAATGATTTACATAATTATGTATTAAATATATCTCATCATTTAAATACTCAGACAATTTTTACCATCATATTAGCCTTTTTTTTCCTGCAGAAGCACAGAATTTATTTATAAGAATAATCTAATGCATTTTTTATTTTTTCATTTTTTTCTTCTAAAATTGTATATTTATGTTTCTTTCACTGTGTTCGTTTTTAGTTAGGCCAGATGTAATGTTTTAATTTTGAACTTTTTTGTTATTTTAAAGGGACATTGTCCCAGAATAAAATAATTTTCTATTATATTATATTCTATATACAAATTTTAATACTTGTATCGCTGTAATCTATACAATTAAATATTAAATAATACCAACGATACCGTTTATGAAAACCGCATATTTATATTTACATAATATTGTCGGAGCCAGTATTATATTAAGCTCGTGTTACGTCTGGAAACCTGTTCTAATCTTTCGGGCGAGCTCGTATTCCTTTGATTTTTCCATTACAACTATTCTCCGTTAAGATTTATTATTTTTCCTTTAGTTAATTATCAAATTCTTGCATATTTAATATTCAACTATTTTTTATAAAAAAAAAACTATAAAAAAAATTGCTTAATTTTATAATGACATAATGAATTTAATCCAAAGCGTTAGGGGTGTAACGCTAAAAAAAAATGTATTAAATCGATATTATAAAGTGTCACTTCCGGTTAGCTGATTTTGACGAAAAAGTTACTATATATCCCAGGCATATAAAAACCTTTAATATACAATTTCACAATATACAATTCGTACCAGTTTTGGAGCTAGACTGTTAACACACAAAACTTTTAATAATGGGCAAGAATTAATAGCAACAAAGAAGATGTAGTGCTGAACATTTCCCTCGCTTACAATAGTCCGCTTTTTATTTTCTGAGATATTTTAATCCATAAGCAAAAACACTTCAATTAGCCGACTTTATACATCGGGAATGTGACAGAACACAAAAAAGTGAAAAACGCGTCTAAAGAAGCTTTTACTTCAATTTTGAACTTTTTTTCTATTTATTTTAATGAAATTTACAAATATATTACATGAAAAATACACCAAGTAAATGTGACATTGGTTACATGACATGTACAATATGAGAAACTACCCATTGGTAGAACTCAAATTAAAGTTCTATTAATATAGGTTGTTATGGATGATTTTATTTGTGACAAAGTAGTTTTGCATTGAGGATTTTACGAAGGATTTTGGATTGTAAGGATTGGATACGAGAGGAATTCGATGGTTTAGTGGAGCCCCAAAGCTCAATTCCGTAAGTCCAATAGGTCTTATTATTGTCATATATATATATGAGTCGTTTGTAATTGATTGAAAGCTTAGAGCGTTTGTCTAGTAAGTGCTGCCGTAGTCGAAAAACGTCGGGCGGTTTCTAGTCGTTTCAGTCTGGTATGGGGGTTTCAAGTATTGAATTGAATTGAAATTTAGACCTATCGTCGTTTAAAATGATTAACTTTCAACATTTGCTATATTCGAGAAAAGCTGGTTGTATAGAGCCTAAATAAATGCCGCCCAGCGAGAATCGATTAGCGTCAAAGATAACAGAGGCACCGCGATCACTAAAATATCAAAGAGGCTTCGGAAAAGAAAACAAGAGGGTGACCACTCAAAGATGAGGCGCCATCTATTTGCTCATCAAACAGCTGTAGCGCCTACTTTTGTTTTTACTTCTGCTCCCATCTCTCCCGCTTCCCCTTCCTCCATAGAAAGCTGATTCGTTGTAGATTTGTGTTTGAACGATTTCCGTTGTCGTCAGAGATATATATAACTATATATATATATATATATATATATATATATATATATATATATATATATATATATATATAGTTATAAGGATGGTTATCAATTTAAGAGTTATTTCGACTGTCATAAAAAAACGAGTGGACCACCAAAGACGTAACGGAGCTCTTTTACTTAATACACTTCAACAATTTTATAATACCCCAACATTGCCTGAAAATAATTTCTACTCAAAGTAAGGAGGAGGGGGATAAGTATAAGTTGTGTGTTGCCTCACAAGATTGTTTTGTTTGTAGCTCTTGAAGTCTACTTTTTCCTATTTAAATATTCCCCTCTACTTACGGAACATCCTGATTACGAAAATTAAGATTTCAGTGGGTTATCCACTATATAATTAATATAACATTACCAAACTACAACTAACAGTCTTGTAATCTATAGGATTTTTAAAAATACACATATAAACATTATATAAAAAATCTTTATTTATTTTCATCATCATACATATACTTTATATATTTATTATACATTATTATACATATATTTTACATTCTGAGACGGGGAGTATTGCTTCAAACTAAATTTATCCTTCTTACGTCATGAGATCAAGTTAAATAATAGCTAAAATCACAGTTGTTTATCAAATCTAATCTATTAAATTACATCTACTTTTTTTTCTTATAATTGTTTTAAATTTTTATTATTATATTCTGCTCTATTATTGAATAGATACTTAAATAAAAAAAATCCCGGCATCCCTTATGATATAATTTTGGTTTTTCTTTGGAAATTCTTTGCTGCTTTAATAATACTATTATTTGACAGCAAAAAAAAGTATACCTATATACCCATAGTGGCTCATAGCTTTAAGAAATGCTCAAAAGTCAATGATATTTTTTTAAAGAAAAAGAGTACATTTTTGTAATAAAAATTATTTTTACAATATTTCTAAGCATTAACTTTTGAGCAATTCATATTATAGATTAATTGCATTTGACACAAAAACGCATTAATAGTTTTATCCTTATTTGTTTTGTTTTTTCTCCAACCTTTCCCTTCCTTTTGGGCTATACGGTTTTTTTCGCGGGCTTGGGGATAGAGCGTGGGATTAATACCAGAGTTAAAAAGACCCTTCCACCCACCACGGTACCTGGTACAGGAACTCTTATTTAACCTTACTGCTCCACTGACAAAGTCATATGATTTACTCCGACATTTAGTCCGTGGTACAGATCCCTTTTTATCAAATTATTAACATTCGTCTGAATCTTCGTAAATAGCTTCATCTCATCGTAACCTACGAATATTTTATTTACGAAAAGTCTCGGAATTGGGGCGTTTTCAATCTGGAGGAGGCCAAACTTTAAATATTTAATTAGGTACTAAAAACTCTTAAATACCCATTTGCTTTTCACCAGAATTCATTCCACTCTTAAAAATATTAATCATTACTTTCGATCAGTTAATGACAACTGATCTAATGATACCAGGCCTCTTTCATATTCAAAGGATGGGAGCGCCACGAATTATATTTTTACGATTATGGCTCTTAAAAAAAAAAAAAAAAATCAAGATCACCAATATAGCATATAAGCTGTTTAAGTATAGTATACATACCAATTTTTTTTTTAATACCCCCTACCTCGGCAGTTCTGGCTTAGGGGGGAAGGTTGTTCTAGAGGTGCGATCGAACCTATGTAAGAAGGTCGAGATCCATGCCGTAAATAAATTTTAACCTGCCCAGGCCGGATTCGAACCTGCGCCACTAGTCTCGAGAATGTTAGGCTACAACACTTTTTGTCACCATGGACTCAACCAGTATTTATAAACAGGCCAAAGCATAATTACCACTCAATTGGCTTCCTTCTACAGAGTCCTTAAGTTTAATTATAGTCTCCTTACATTTCTAACTCCGATTAAGGCGTTTAAACCTTTTCCCATTCACCAATCGTAAATCATCAATGATTTTTAAGTATCTACTAATAAACTACGTTTTTGTGCCTCAAATGCGAAATATTTTTGCCTTATAAAATATATTTTTGAGATAAAAAGGTAATAATTACGCATAGAGTGGCAGCAAAAACGTTGATGTTTGATGTAGAAGCGCTGTTGGCTTTTTTAGTGACTATGAATTTCTTCGACAACTTAAAATCTATCGCTTTGTGCGAGTCGTCTCTGAAATCCGCGAAGCCTACCCTCGCTCGTTCGACGTCGAATATTGTGTAGACTTTGGATATGAAGGCGTCGCCTAAAATCCATTCCGCCCCCGAAATTGTAAAATTGTACTGATGAATTTGTGGCACACATCCTTTGCGTGATTCGTTGTCTCGACCCTGCAGAAAAACACAAAATGTGATATGTTTAAAAAAATAAAATAAAATAAAAAACAACAAAACTGAGGTCTATGCTTTAGACCACACGATAGAAGTGAAAACATCAATAAGGCAAGATTAATATTATGAAATATAAATCATAAATAATAACTGACAAGGAGTTGATCGGAGGGGGGAGGGGAGGAGAGGGGAGAGAGAGAGAAAGAGAGAGAGAGAGAGAGAGAGAGAGAGAGAGAGAGAGAGAGAGAGAGAGAGAGAGAGAGAGAGAGAGAGAGAGAGAGAGAGAGAGAGAGAGAGAGAGAGAGAGAGAGAGAGGGAGGGAGGGAGAGGGGAGAGAGAGAGAGAGAAAGAGGGGAGAGAGAGAGAGAGAGAGAGAGAGAGAGAGAGAGAGAGAGAGAGAGAGAGAGAGGAGAGTGAGAGGGGGGGAGAGGAGAGGGGAGGTGAGGGTCAAATAACTACTAAATTATAGAAATAGTATTATTTAATTATTATACCGACGTTTCGACCCACTTTGCAGGTCTTCATCAGGACTACGAAATATAAAAGGTACATGGTAAAAATAAAATAAATGAATTATAAGTAGATATTAAGTAAGAAAAGATTAACAGATAAAAAAAAAACGAATGTTAACGAATAAATAGATTGAAAATTGAATAATTATTGATATAGTAAAGCTAAAATAAGAATAAGATAACATAATAATAAGATATCAGTGGATAACAAGCTAGGGGAGGTTACATTTGATAAATGTAGGTAAACAGATAACAGGAATAAAGGTGATACTATAAAGAAATACTTTTATACTTATTTTTTCTCTATAAATTCACAGAGTGTCAGGTGAATAAAAGGAAAAAATTAAACAGTTGATAATGTAGTTTTAGACTAAAAAAAAAAATTTCATGTAAAACTTAGTCCACTTTTCCTCAAACAATTTTTAATTTACGTAATTAAACGTTACAGTTATTTTCATACAAAAGTTGTCTGATAAAGAAATAATAAAATGATATCAGAGATATAGTGGGTGACAATGTAGTTAAAATATCGAGTATATATAGAAGATACAATCAAAAGTAGAAAATAAGTATGAATAAAAATAGAAAACAAAGAAGAATATAGCATGTAAGTTAAAAGTAAACACATTGTGATAAAAGATAAGGAATAAGTGTATAACAAACTAATAAAGAATACATTTGATTACTGTAGGTTAAACGATTGAAAATTGAATAATTATTGATATAGTAAAGCTAAAATAAGAATAAGATAACATAATAATAAGATATCAGTGGATAACAAGCTAGTGGAGGTTACATTTGATAAATGTAGGTAAACAAATAACAGGACTAAAGATTAACAAATTAAGAAATTGAAAGATTAATAGGATAACATTAGTTGTAAATATCGTTAGTATAGATTTATTAAATATATATAACTCTATTAGAAAAAAAATTATGAAGAGAAATTTAGAAGGTAAGTATAAATGTAAACAAGGTTATGATGATGAAAACAAATTGTACTATATTTAGATGAAATTTGACATTCAGTTTTTTTGAAAACGTCATCTTATTATTTCTTTATCATACAACTTTTCCTTACTTAATAACTACTTTTAATTCATTTCTTTTATTTTCACGATGTACTTTTTATATTTTGTAGCCCAGACGAAGACCTGCAAGGTGGTTCGAAACGTCGGCATAATAATTAAATAACACTATTTCTATAATTTAGTATTTATTTAACCGCACTCCCCGATCAACTCCTTCTCATATTATATCACGGTCAACCATCTCTACATCATTATTAATAATAACTAATTTTAAAGAGGATGGAATGCTGAACATTTCTCTCACTTACAGTATGCAGGTCCGATTTTCAGTTCCTACGATATTTTAAACCATATATTCAATAAAACTCGTTATCATTTAGTATTCGACGCTATTTTCTTTTTTGCCTCTCTAACACGGAGCCGCGTTAAGATACAATTTTGTAGGCCCGATTTTCAGTTTTAGGGATATTTTAATCCATGTGCAAAAAAACACTTCAATTAGTCGACTCCAGCCGACTTTGTCCGAGCGTTAAACATCGGACATCTGACGGCTTACGTTTTCACTTCAAAAATGTGATTAAGGTGAAATGAAAGTTCAAGTAAAAAAAAAAAAAAAAAATGTAAAATATCTTTCTATCTCAAAAATAATTTAAATTTAGACTGTAAGCTAGTTAAGTAAATGAATCATTTAATCTAATATATGTATCATAATCTTTTAAATCGGATTATAAAAGCAAAAAATATAAGTAAAACCCACGCAGGGTTTTAGATTCAGGACGCAAGGGAAAGCTACGAATAAGTGGTTTCAATAAAATTCTGTTGGTGATACTGCGATGAAAATTGACAATATTGTTGAACTTTTTCTATATTATTGTTGGTTTTATGTGCAAGGAACATATATTGCTGATTATATTTAATAAATTCAAAGTTATAAAAATTATAAAAAAACTATAAGTCCCTCGAAGTAAAATAGGTCAAATAAATTCCATAAATAAATAAATTTTATAAATTCAAATCTGTTTATAGTATGCTTTGAAACTCTGAAATAAAATTTTGTGATAAAATAAAAAATATAAAAATTTGTATACTTAATTTATTTCACTAAATTTCGTGTATTTTATGAGCTCTAAATACTCACCAATTTTCTTATGGATAGATGAAATCATTTTGTTAAAGTTGTTACTATTTTTGTGATTTTCGAAATAAAAAAAGTCGAACTTTATAGCCAGTTTATAAAGGAAAATGAAGGGAACTCAGTTTTTACTTTCATACTATTTTAACCGAGTCAAGAGGCAAACATACTCACTTGACTTAAGTAAGTTAAGAGACTTAACTCTACGCGAAGGTCAAAACACACTTTACCAAGATAACCTTCAACCACCAGGTTTTTCTCGTGAATTAATAAATAATATCCACTTTATCGTGGACGTGCTCTTAGAAGGGCCTCCTCATCAGAAGCATAGGAGCACAGTTTATTACTCACTAAGCTATGACGCTACATAGTTGGTTATTATTTTTTCATTTAATAAAATTATGTGGTGGATACCTGAATTACTGTAACCGCAACAAACGATTATGGAATCTACGTAACTATATGATGCTCAACTTATATAAAATCTATCTTGAATATTTTGCTTGAATATTTAAACCAATTATTAAAAATATGATTGTATATTTACCACTAAAACGTAATCTCGACCGGTCAAGTTAAACCTTCTTCCATTAATTACAAAGGATATAGTTGGCAGTCGGTCTGGTTCACAAGCCTCCTATGAATGAATATATTTATTTATTTTTTATAAAATGATATTTAAAATATATAAAAATATCTTGTATACAACCTATGTTACTTTCACTTTCTAGAGGAAATTCAAAATTTATAAATTTATGATAGTAGGCTGCTTATTTAATTTGTTAAAGATTATTACCTCCAAAATAGTCATATTAATTAAAATAGAGATATCATGCTCAGCAGCTAGGGGGTTAATTTACCCCAGGTTCGCCCCACGTCCAATGAAACAGAATAAATAATTTTTCTATCATCAGCCGGGATTCGAACCCGAGATCTTGAGCATTGGAAGCTCAGTATCCTATCACTTATCTTTATTTTTCTTCATTACCAGTACTTAATTTATTTTATTAACAATCCGATATGAAATTCATTATATTTTTTTCTTGTTATTATAAAAATAAACGCTTTTCCCAGGTTTTGTTATGTTTTAAAATTACACAGTCCATTATTTGTGTTATATAATTCCTTTCATTTTCCACAATTGTTAGTTAAGCTTGGTTTTATGTTTTCGAATAAAACATGTGATACTATAAAGAAATACTTTTATACTTATTTTTTCTCTATAAATACAGAGTGTCAGGTGAATAAAAGGAAAAAATTAAACAGTTGATAATGTAGTTTTAGACTAAAAAAAAAGTTCATGTAAAACATAGTCCACTTACCCTCAAACAATTTTTAATTTACGTATTAAGTTAATACGTTGTAGTTATTTTTATACAACTTCACATTTTTTTAGCTAAGCTATTTAATTACTCACTCACAAAGAAAAATTGTAATTTCGTTTGACAAATAACAAATTATTTTAAAACTAAAATGCAGTAAAACAAAGACATTCCGTGAACGATATACATGACATTAATACACAAAATGGAAAATTTAATAAAAACAAACAACAACCTAAAAAATATTTTAGCGTCAGATATATAGAAATTTAACGGATAAAATAGAAAGAACATAGAAAGCAATTCGCATAAACGTAGAATAAAGGAAGCCATATACATCGCTAAAAATTAGAAAAACCCGGTAAATAATCATACAGACGTGGATACTATGACATTTTACGCGAGTTCAATTGAAAAAATGAAAATTTGAAATGAATTAGCTAATATTACTTAAAATAGGTCCTCATATAATATTGGGGGACATCATTGTATATGTTTAAAATATATAGTCTTCCCCTACTCCTTTAAGAATAACCAGTCACTGAATATGAATGAGACTTATGACATGTCGGTGACACATGATAAGGTAATTTTAACTTATTTCAATAATTTAATAAGAAACAATTGAGTAATAATAATGGTATAAAATAATTAAAGGTGGACATTACAAAAATAAAAATTTGTATTATGAGTAGACGCATGCTATTCGCATAAATGAAAAGGACAGGTACATGATTGGTATTTAGGTATATAAAAAGATCCTCTATATGTTGAAGTATGTAATGTTTTGAATATGATTGTAAATTGTAAAAATTTTTTAAACTTGAAAATGGCTCAAAGAGCCGAAACATCGTAATTAGATGTGTTAGATGTGTGTCATGAAGTTGACAAAATTTTAAAAATTAGTGTAAAATTGGCTGATGATGAATAAACTTGAGTATGAATATATATATATATATATATATATATATATATATATATATATATATATATAATATATATATATATATATATATATATATATATATAGGTATATATATATATACATATATATATATATATATATATATATATATATATATATAATGTGTGTGTGTGTATGTATGTAAATTAAACTCACGTGTAGGGCTGCACCAATTGCCTTATACATATATCCAACTTCACCAGTTGGTCCCCAAATGCCTGGAAAATTGGAAGCAATGATAGCTTGGCAACCATAAGTACATCCGAGGGGTTTTCCATTTATTTCCACTCTGTTGAAAAATAAATTAAATATTAACACAAAAGGAATCAATTTTAGTTAAAATCGGTAAATTTAGAACAGTAAATAACATTTCTACTGTTCGACTATCAAATTATGATAAACTATAATTTTTATTACAGAGCGATTCAGCCCTTAACAGCAAAACTTTTGGGGAGGATTATCGACAAAATTTTCCACATAAAAATTACTTTGATAAGTGTAGGTGATAAAACAAAAATTATTTAATTTAGATAATTAACAATTTTATCATAGTAAACTAGACAAAATTTCCTACAAATAGAAGTGTATTCATCTATGTCAAAATCAGAAGTGCCCTTCTCCTACGTCGATGGCGCATCAACCCTACCCTTCCTCCCAAAATATTTTATTGCTCTCCTATTTTCAAAACCACTCCAAGCTAAAAAAGAATTTTACTTTCATTGGTTTGAAACTTATCATATCGAAAAATCATTACCCAGTCGACATGTGCCCCCCCCCCTCAAAAAATTTAAAACTCAAAATATACCCCCTCAAAAAATTTGCACTATCAAACGCTTTACTGGGCACCCCTGACAAAATTATAATAAAAAATGCGACTTTTGATAGGTAAAACTACGCTAATTTGTTGGAATTTTTTTTCTTCATTAAATCATGAATTATTGGCGATCTTTGTTTTATCATTCAACAACTGGACTACAGATACCCCACTATTGTAAAAATTTTTTTATTTAATAAGCTTTAATTGTATATTTTTTCGTGATTAAAAAAAAAATAGAACTTGTTTTTGAACATTGTTTGGACAAAGACCAAATTTACTTATATTTTCAGAAAATTTTGTTTAGTTTATTATAAATATTTTTTTTTTACCTAAATTAAATATTTTTTTGTGTTATCGTTTATTATGAATACGAAAACCTTAAGAAAATAATAAATTTGACTTAATACCTGTTCGGAATTGAACCATACAAGACATAAACTTTTTGTTGGAATTTTTTTCTAGAATCACCTTCTAAAGTTTCACTATTATGAACTTGATTGTAATATTTATCAATAAACCAAAAAAAAAAAATTATGAACTTAATCAATCTTTATATATGTATATATATAAATATATTCAGGGTGTTTAAGGGTTCAAAACAAGAAAAAATTTCCTCTGAAGCTATGTCCGTTAACGATTTGTTTAGGAGATATTCACACCGACAAATTTTCTTTAAAGATGACTTTAATTCCTTAAGAAGAAGGATAATTGAATCTTGTTAAACAACAACACATATCCAGTGCCGTTCTGCCACTGCTGCTGTTAAAGAAAGATTCTGAGCCTTTCTTAATGCTCAAGGACAGCATTTAATATGAATTTCATGTTTACATTTAATTAATAAAGTAGTTGGAACAAATAAATTTTTATTTATTTAATATAACGTAAATAATTCGTAACAATGAAAATCTTTAGGTGTGGATGTTTCCTTAACAAAGCGGACATACCTTCAAAGGAAATTTTTTTTCTTTTTTTGAGGTCCTTAGTTCATATTTTCAGTTTGGTCACTTAACCCTGAAACACCCTATATATATATATATATATATATATATATATATATATATATATATATATATATATATATATATATATATATATATAATATGGTCAACATATATATATATATGTTCATATATACATATTGTAATGTACATTTCCAAAAACCTACCGATCCATTTTTATCTGCCAATAACCTGAACCTTTAATTACAGGTGAGTAGGTTGGCTCTCGCTCTGTTATGAGTTTGTGGTCTATTCCACCGAATATGAGTTCTCCATTCTGCGAATAATCCATGGATGAACCCTTTCTGTAACGTAATAATATAATTTAATTTAATTAATATAATAATATTCTGTATTATTTTTTTACTTTATTTTTAGTGAAAAGTCTCTTAAAATTAAAATCCAATAACAGAATTGTGGCCTTATGAGCCTCTTAGCTAAATAAAGAAGAATAACAAAAATAAAGAAATATAAAACATAAGTTAACTTCTAATATTAATATTTATTAATAAATACAAAACCATTTCATAAACTGGACATAGTTACAAAATGCGCAAAGTTTTCAGATTTAACAAAGGGAAAGTTAATAAAAAAAATTAGTTATTTATGTAGTGGTCCTGAAATATCAGTTTCTGAGAAATATTTTGTGGTAGAGACCCCTTTCTATCAAATTATTAACATCTGGCTGAAACTTCGTAAAGCTTCATCTCATCGTAACCTACAACTATTTTATTTACGAAAATTCTCGGGATTGGCCTGTTTTCAATCTGGAAGTTGACAAACTTTGTCTATTTAATTAGGTAATAAAATCTCGCAAATACCCATTTTCTTTTCAACTTGTCGAAATAACGAGGTTGTATAGGTTAAACGGCCCAATATTTTTTTTGTATGGCATTTTTTTTATCGATTTTATGGTCAAATTATCTTACACCTCAAGTGGAAAGGAAATGGGTATTTGCGAGCGTTTAGTACCTAATTAAAAAGACAATGTTTGCCAACCTTCAGATAGAAAACGCCTCACTTCTGATAATTTTCGTAAATAATATATTTGTAGGTTACGATGAAATTATTTATGAAGTTCCAGCCAGATGTTAATAATATGATAAAAAGAGGCCTGTTACACGAACTAAAGTGCCTACTTAAAAAGTGTTTTTGAAGAGAAACTGGATGGATAAGAAGCGGTTGAATAGAGGAGATTTAAAGGTGGGAAGGGTAAAATAATGAAAGATCTGTCCCAAGCCTCGGTTTGGTGGGCTCTTGTATAAAGATATGTGATCTGAAGGTATGGATTGCCGGAGTGAACAGAGGATTTCTATGATGAGGAATTCGGAGATGTAAGATAACTTGAAAGAGGAAGGATACCATGAAATACGACGGTAGGAAGGATTAAGACAATTATAGTTCCGTACATAAGAGAGACCTGTATTAAATATTATTTATATCGGTGGAATGGCGGTTGAATGTATTGTAGTTAATAATTGAAGGGAAGTTGGTTGGGGTTTTTAGTCAAAATACAAAGTAAAAATAAATAAATTATATCTATATTTATTTCGGAAGGAGATGGTCCGGGGTGGCGGTCATAAATAGGCTAAATAGTGGTAAAACTGTTTTATTAAAAGCTAACGTTTCGACCCGACTTTGCAGGTCTTCATCAGGGCTAGAACGGACAAGAAACAAAAAGATAGAATTGTGTAAGTTACATAATAAAGTGAAGTAAACTGAAGTAGTTCAGTTTAGGATCCTGTTACTTAGCTTACTCTGTTTATATTTTAATGTGCCTACTGTTTATAATTTTAATAATCTTATTTACATCGTTTATAATTTTGTCTAAATATTATTAACTTCTACAATTCCCTATCTTTTTGTATCTTGTCCCTGAAGAAGACCTACAGAGTCGGGTCGAAACGTTGGCTTTTAATAAAATAGTTTTACCACTATTTAGCCTATTTATGACCGCCACCCCGGACCATCTCCTTCCTTTATAATGCAACGGTCAACTATTAAATATTCTATATTTATTTCCTTTGCGCTGACACTTTCCAGACCATTTTGACTGAAAACTCCAACCAACGTCTTTTCAATTATTACTTATAATTTAGAACGGCTGGCTGGTTATATATTAACAACAAATATTTTTATATCATGATCAATCATGAATATATATATTACCTTCTCAGTAAAAACGTGAATACTCCATGTGTAAGACCTTGGTCTACCAAATTCTTAAGCGGTGCTGGACTGTTTCTTTTCGATAAGTCTCCGAAGGATAAACCGAAGACACCATCTACTGTTTTAGAAAATAGCGGAGCTCCCATTACCATATTGACTTCGCAAAATGTTTGGCCTTCTATCTCCATGTCGCCTATCTACAATGAAATATATAATTTTCAGAATTTAAACATAATATATATATATATATATATATATATATATATATATATATTTCAATCTTGTTAGTTAGCAGTTCCCTTTATTAGTAATAATAAAAACACTCATAGATGACATGATGCCTTATCACTCACTATGACTTAATAGTCTAATACTAAAACCTTCACCCATAAGGATATTTTTATTTAAACATTTTTTTTTCTTTTTTTACTTTCCTGCCTATAGTAGGTAAGGAAAGTATTGCGATCGGGTCAAATTTCTGATATGCGGTTTTCGACGGATCTATACGTTTCAGCGCCCCCTGCGTTCGAATAACACATTTTTAGCCATTGGTCTGTCTGCCTGTCTGTGCCAAGATTTTCTCGGGAACTACTGAACCGATTTTGTTGCTTCTTTTTATATTTTGTAGGGTTTTAACTATTGATGCCTGTTACACAAATTGGATGCTCCATGCGCAATATCTACTGGGCAATGTATTAAAAACATGTTTTTCGATAGACTTGTGCGAAAAAGGCTCTAACGATTTTGATGAAACTTTCCTATAATGTTCTAATAATTGTCCTTTCAATTATCGTACATCTACTAAATTCCCGAAAAAATCAGGAAAAAAAGTTATAAAAAAAAGAAAAATGTTTTGGGGCTAAGTATATATTATACGGTAAAATTTATAATAAAACTTTAGAAAGTTAGTTAAATTACCAACAAAACAAAAAAAAATATCGCAATCGAACCAGTACGCTCTGATAAAGCGTACTCTATTTTCTTCACGTGTTTTAATTTATTACTTTCCGACCGATACTAGGTAAGGAAAGTATTGCCATCGGGTCAAATTTCCGACATGCGGTTTTCAACGGATCTATACGTTTCTGAGCCCTCTTACATTCAGTTTCCAATGTAAGATTACAGGTACATATCCTGGTGTAAGAATGGGATGAATGAGAGAAAAAAGATAACTTAGTGAAAGTAAGGAAATCTGTTGCCTGCAACACACAAGCTTCACTATTTCCTCTACTTTTACCAGAAATTATTGTTTTTATTGTTTGACGAAATTAGGCTATGGCAAAAATTTTTGATTAATAATATTAGGGGGTATTGAAGTATTTGCACTGATCTACCTTAAAACGGCTTCCATTGCTTTAGTTTATCAAATAAATCGTAATCAAATCTTTTCTTTGATCAATTTTCAGGAGGATAAATTTAATTCAATTTTTTTTTCTTGATAGACATATGTAAAGATATAAAAACTTTTCTGAAATAGTTAGGAAAGTGTGAGTGGACAAACCAATATTTTTAATTTTAATTTTTAATTATTTTTTTTATCTTTATACCTTCATCTGCACCTGTCATGATAGTGACAATCAGCAGATGTGATGGGAATATAGATGCTAATGGCATGACAGGCATGAGGAAGAATAGTACACAGCAGCACCTCTTTCTGGTCTTTGTTTGCTTTCGTAAATCAGGGAAAGAGATCTCTCATCCAGCTCCTTTTCAGTTTCCTACTAATGGAAATGTCAACGGTGGTCATATCGGTTATGGGTCTGTTGTTGTGTCCTTGAAGTTTAATATAAGTAAAGAGTTCGTGGTTGACAGTTGATTGTCGTAAGTTGTTTTGTAATGTTTTGTTGTTTATGTACCAGAGAGTCGTAAAGTTTTGGACAGAAAGGTAGTTTTTTTTTTTTTTTTTGCTGAACCGTATATCTGTAAGGCCTATGTCCAAATGGGTTTAAGTAGGTACGTGTCTGTATTTAGTTTTTGTCTTATTTGCTATTTGTTTCATTTTAACGTGTTCGTCTGAGAAATTGGACTGCCGCTGATATAACTGATGGGCATGTGTTAAAAATAGCTTAAAGACTGAAACGCTGGTCTAGAGAAAAAAAATTAAGTATGACTAATCTGAAATATAAGAATTCCTATTGGTTACCTGGACACTATCTGTTGATAGGTACCCAACCATATTCCCGTAAAGGTACCAAAATGAGGTAAAGTCACCATTGCTCACGTAAGATTCAGAATCCATTGAGTTGTAATTCCTATGACCCGCTGAAACATTGATAATATATTATTAATGCGTTTAAAGTAATTATATTGAGACTGAAAAGCATTTACTTATTCTAAATAATAATATCATATTATCTATATAAATAAAATAAAGGTTTTTATACATTACAGGCACCAAATCCACTTTTTTCCAAAAATTGTCTGTCTGTATGTCCGTATTTCCCAACGAAATTTATTCAGGGACAAGCTAAGCAATGGTAGACTTTTGAAATTTTAACGTTATATTTAGGTTTGCTTGACTTAAAACATAGGTTTTAAATGAAAACAAAATATTTACTAGAACCAAAGTTATGAATCCTTGAGTAATTTGTCTATAGATCCAGGGTAGGCAGTTACTTACTTCAAATCTCATCCCAACCTACTCTACCGCCACATTTAAAAGAAGTTGTACTATTCAATCGATACTGATAAAAATTATCACAACTCAACTGGAAAAATCCGAAATCCCGAACATCTGACGCACACTCATATTTTAACTTTGTCCGATTTTCCCGTTCAAAATGCTATTCGATTCAACTTCTCAAGCCTAACAAATGTTGTATAGATTTTTAGAATTAACCATTAGCCGGAAATCAGAAAAAAGAACTCCCAAAAATTTTACCCCGCCTGCCATAAAATTCAGATCAAGTTCTAATTTTACACGGATGTAGGTGTTTATACAATCTCCTTGCTTCGTCATAAATGAAAATTAAAAACTTTTAATGGATCGGTGGTGGTCGGTTTAGTTGTGTGGCACCTAAAAAAATAAGCGGATAACAATGTTTTTGTTATGAATATTGCGAAGCCTTGAGTTATATAATCCATCCTCCCCATGAATAATTTCATAAGGTAGCCACAAACTTCGAAGGGGAAGTGAAAGCCATTCTCTTAGGCCTTGAGATGTTAACTGAACGGAAAGACAAGAACGTGGCTTTCTTTGTTGACTCACAGGCAGCCATTTTGTCTCTCCAAAATGGATATAATATAAATCCAAATGTTCCTAAATGCCATCAATATTTGAACCGATTAAAGGAAAATGGGACAGAAGTCGCTTTCCAGTGGATACCAGGCCATCGCGTGCTCCACGGAAATGATGAAACTGACATACTTGCCTGAATAGGTTCTGGAATGATCCAACCAGATATTCCTCTGGGCATGGATTCAACAAAAATAATTATAAAACAGATCCTCCAAAGTTCACTGAAGAAGAAATACGCGCAAACGATTGAAGGGAAACGATGGAGTAGATTGCTGGAAGAAAGTGGCAAGATCCCTAGAGACCTCCCTAGAGGGCAAGCCGTGGCATGCTTTAGAATGCTGACAGGCCACGATTTCCTTCAGAAGCACCTCCACCGCATCGGTGTAAAAGATAGCCCGACATGCCCTCTATGTTCCTTAGACATGATGACAGGAGAACATCTGGATACATGCCCTGCATTACAGGACATAAGATGTTCCTTTAGTGAAATGGACAGCCCTTATGCTCGGAGAGCAAAATTATATTTTACTGCAAGAGCACGCATGGCTGATCAAGCAGGCGTTACTTAGGCGTAAGAAAAAAAAATGAATAATTTCAAAACAATCTTTCCCCCTCTTCACCAAATTTTATAAAATTAAATTTGGACCCCTCTCCCATAGTAAAAAGTTCATCTAAAAAAAAAAAATCTAAAATTTTAACAATACATACGTCAGCTAGTTTAGAATAAATAAAAATTCTTACCACATAATGCACAATCAATAGAATCTTTGGAAAAGACCCACAAATCCGACGCCATAGTGTCGAATAGTACGTTGAATTCTTGAGGTGGCGTACCGATACTGATCTTTCCATAATGTTGAAACTAGATAAATAAAAGTAATTAAAGCAAAACAAAAATATTGCTCATGAAAATAGTATATACAGGTATGTCAGTATTATTAAAAATTAATTTTACTTATTGAATACTTAATAGTTGACAGTTGTATTTTAGTGGAAGGAGGTGATCGGGGGGTGGCTGTCATAAAGAGACTAAAATAGTGGCAAAACTATATTATTTCAAGCCAAATTTTTTGGTGCTGAACACGCCTGTAAGTCTCAATTTTTATTTTTATTTATTTTACTGTATTTAATTTAATTTTTTTTTTCTTTTCTATCTTCACATCCCTTAATGTCCATTATTCCATATTATTTATCCTTTTCTTCCAGTAACAGTAAGTACATTGAAATATTAACAACAATAAACTATATAACGAGATCCTAAACTGAAGTAAATAAATGGTAACAATTGTTGTAGTACAATATATAATATAATTCATGCAATTATGAATATACTCCTACAGAAAACTTACGAGTTTTTAGTGCCTTAAACTGTATTAAAAAAAAATCGAAAATTTATTAACAAAGATAAAATCCATGAGTTTTGGTATACTTAATAATGTCTTCCTCTTCAAAGATATTGCATTTAGGAGTAGAATAGTCTACTACACTTTTTTTCCTGGCTGATATATTAACTTTATTATTCTTAAAGTTATTTGGTTGTTATTACATTTTTTTTTAATAATTTAGAAAATTCCATGATCGAGATATTATTTTGTCTTCATTACTTTTATTATCTTACCAATCAGCATTTAAAAATAGGCCCTAGCAAAACAATTTGTACAAACATTTTGGTCTGTTATGTTAAATGGAATATTGTAATGGACCAAGGAAAAAATATTAATTCCTTCCTTAAATAATAAATAAAGAACTACTTACTTCCATTTTGTTTTGCTATTTCTTCACTAAACAAAATTATTCGCACGGGCCAACTAGTAATACATAATATAATATATGCAATTATGAATATACTACTACAGAGCTCAAGGAGCTGACCAACGCTGCTCTATTTTTACTCTTTTATTTTTATTTTATTTACTTATTTATTATTTAGTCTTTCTTTTCTTTCTTAACATCTCTTTATGGTCATTATTTCATATTATTTTTCCTTTTCTTCCAATCTCTCCTTGAGACATGTAGGAGTATATTCATAATTGCATATATTATATTATGTATTACTAGTTGACCCGTGCGAATAATTCGCAGAAAGTTTTGTTTAGTGAAGAAATAGAAAAATGGAAATAAGTAGTTCTTTATTTATTATTTAAGGAAGGAATTCATATTTTTTCCTTGGTCGATTACAATATTCCATTTAACATAACAGACCAAAATATTTGTACAAATTGCTTTGCTAGGGCCTATTTTGAAATGCTGATTGGTAAGATAATAAAAGTAATGAAGACAAAATAATATCCCGATCAAGGAATTTTTTAAATTAAAAAAAAATGTAATAACAACCAAATAACTTTAAGAAATAATAAAGTTAATATATCAGCAAGGAAAAAAAGTGTAGTAGACTATTCTACTCCTGAATGCAATATCTTTAAAGAGGAAGACATTATTAAATATACCAAAACTCATGGACTTTATCTTTGTTAATAATTTTTCGATTTTTTTAAATGCAGTTTAAGGCACTAAAAACTCGTAAGTACCTATTGGCTTCTTACTTGGATCGCAAAATTGATTTGGGAGTGTAACTCACACTAAACGGCTCAAGTTATCTTACGATGAAAAGCAAATGAGCATTTACAAGTTTTTGTACCTAATTAAATAGACAAAACTTGCCGATCTTCAGATTGAAAACACTCCATTTCCGAAAATTTTCATAAATAAAATATTTGTAGGTTACGATGAGATGAAGCTATTTACGAAGTTTCAGGCGGATGTTATGCTATGTTCCGGGCCTCGCGTTTCTACGGCAAGGGGTTCCAGAAACCGCATTTATTTGCATTTAATAGTTATATTTGTATTCGTATCGGTTCCAGAAGGGAACTGATCTACAGAAAAATATATTAATTAGGTATTTAAAGGTAAGATACCACAGACCCCCTAATATAGTATCCTAGATTGAACCATATAATTTTTATTGGATTTCCTTTCTAAAGGTATCATGTTTTTAAATTTACTATATGTTCTATATCTCACTGGTGGCATGCAAGGTAGATGGTAGAAGTACTACGTTGGTTTACTAACTATTATATTTACAAGCTTAAATAAAACCAAAAACATCTATATACAAAATAATAACTAAATCTATATACATAATGAATAGTTGAGAATCATACTGGAGGAGAATGCTTGATGTTTGATTAAAGTTACATGTGTTATATTGATTATATTAATTAATGATGTATGGTTGCCAACACAAATCTACATTAGTATAACTAAATGCTTGTTACCACTTAGCTGGTCCTTCATGGTGTTTCTAGCCGTCATATCTGGATTACCTGTCTCTGCTCTCCTTCAGCGTCTAGTCCGTCCATCTGCTCTCTCCGGCTGTCTTCGTCTTCCTCCCTCGACTCCCCCGCTTGAAGTCCCCTCAGCTGCGTCCCAAAAAGAAGTCCCTTAGTCGTAGTCCTCTATTTCCCACCTTTCTTCATCCCCCCCTCTTTTGGTAGTCTTCTCTGATTGGCTGAATATTCCTAGCCTAAAGGATGACCACGCCCTCTCCCCCAGGCCAAGGTAAAGCAGCAGGTACAGATTTCCGTATTTCTGGTGGAAGGTGTGAAAAGGTCTTTCTGGATCCTGTTTAAACACTCAGTTGTCGGTCTTGGTCGGTGGTTCTTAAAGGTTTTTATTACCACTTACAAAAGGCTGGGCTTGTGGGTCGTTACCCTCGCTCAGGTAGCACCAGATGTGGCCACTTATGATATTTATTTATTTATACCTTTAAAATAATTAAATGAATACCACCTGTGGTCTTTAAAATACATAGCAGTTAATAATTTGATAAAAAGGGGTCTGTATCATTACCATTATCTACGTGACAGAATGTTATATTATATTTATTACTCAAAGAAAAAGCATTGATCAATATGCTTCTTAAAAACTATCATGCATATTCTAAAAGTTCTGAAATATTTATTTAGAACTAATTAACTAAAAAAAAATGTAACAAAAAATAAAAATTAAATATTATTTATTTTTATTTAATGTTAACTTACAAATACTAAGTTGCTTATTGGCCGGGCTTCATTTTTAACTAGAGCGGAGGATCGAAATGTGTGGAACAATCGTTGGAGATTTTCGAAATATTCAGTGTATGGTTTGACTGCTTCTTCCACCCTCGTCAGTGGAGTTCTGTAAAAATTAAAAAAAAAAAATCTCTTACAACTATCTATTATTCTACTTGTCAGAATAAATATCTGATTGTAATGTGTAAATATTGCATGATTTTTCAGAATCAGTATAATATATATATATATATAATTAAGTATATACTTGATCTTGAATTATTTCTAACTATTTTATTTAAAAAATGTCAACTGAGCTTTGGATGTAAAGAGATATAAGCTGAGAAAATTTTACTTGAATAACGAATGCTATGACGCTCAATGATATGATAAAGCCAGTTCTAATATATGGCTTATTTGAAGTTTATTATTTGAAATGAACCATATTAATAGTACTTTATTAATATATTTTCCTATGCCTGTATAAAAATGTTGAAATAGTATTATCATTTTGTCTATGACGAACAATCATAGCTGTAATACTTATGATATGATCTGATTCTTCAACAAATATAAAACAGATGAGTACATTTTGAAACCTCCAATTTAATATATTTTTATTTTACATAGAAAAGCCCACAAGACAAACGAACCTAGTACTGATCTGTCTAATTACTACCATCTGTTTGTTTAAACAATTTAAAATTTTATATCACGTTTATAAAAGTTGTTGAGAATTCGAAAATCAGAATTTGGATTCGACACATTACGGAATCATATATATTTATTCTATAATGCTATAACTAGAAAAAATGTTCAAGTAATCTTAGCATTCAAATATTTATGCAACTTTTTTACTATAGACTCTTCACATATTTTTATAAAATTTAATATTTCGTTTGAAATTCAGTTAAATTATCAGAATTCACTTTATTTTCAGGAATTTTAATTTTAAATTATTTTTTCTCTAACATCCGTTGTTTTTAATCGAATCGTTTCAATTCGTAAGTAAACTGTCATTTACTTTTTTCTTTGTTTTGCAATTGGTTAGAAATTTCGGAAGGACAAAGGCAAATTGAATTTAAATCAAATAACAATTTAGTAAACGTTAAGCGTGAAACGAGGTGATTGCATAGAGGTATCGTTTTAATGAAGATAAATTGATCATTCCGAACCATTGGGTTTCCAAACTCATTTGGAATTTTACATGCTAGAGCTTTAGTGAAGAAAATTCACTAAATTAATTAATTTCCTTTGACACCTAGTTTGAAAATTATTGAACTGGATATCACATCCATCATTTATTTATTTTATTTATAATATGAATTATTTTCCTAATATTTATTGTTTTAAAGTGAATCCGTTATTTGTTTATTTATAAAAAATCAGAAAATTTGTTATAAAAAATATGTTACATTCGGAGAGCTTCTACTTTAATGTATACTAGTTTCAAAAACGATATTTTTATTTTTTAAATAAACTTTATTAATAGTACTTTAGAGAAAGCCGTATATGAACATTGGGCATTTAAGCCCTGTAAAGTGACATCAACAGGGTTAAGATCTAAATGATATTAAATACCATTTAATTATACAATGATACACCGAGTATAATCAAAATCGTTAGAGCCGTTTTTGAGAAAATTGTAAAAATGTGTTTCAGCGTTGATATAAATTCCGGCACTTCCGGTTAGCTGATATTAAGGAAAACGTTGCTGTCATATCTAAGGCATATACCTATCTTAAATACGTAATATCAGTTTCGTACTACTTTTCGTTTTCGAGCTAGAGTACTCACATACACACAGACACACAGATACACATACACATAGATACACAGATCATTTGGTTATTTAGACTCAGGGTACCTCAAAACGTGTATTTCCCTTGAAAACATAGACTCGAAAATTGTCACGTTCGCAATACTTACCTTTACTCATTACACATATACGTAAGTGAAAGTAATACTAAGTTTCTGGATTATTTGGTTAATAATACTTTATGAGAAAGCATGAGTGAAGATTAAGAAGTCAAAGAACTTTATGAAACCCTAGCTGTCTTTATTTTACATTTCTATGGATATTGTACAAAAACACATGAAAACCTTACCATAACTTTATCAACACTTTACAGGGCTTGAGCTGTGTTAAAATGAGTGTTAGCGACCATATTTAGCACAAATATCGTAAATAATTTTCTCTACTTTACACATTTACAATACTTAGCACTGTTTGCATAAATACCCTGAACGGTTGAATAAATAATATATATGTATAATTATCCTTATGTTCTTCAAAATAAAAAATAAATATATAAGTTATATAAGTCACAAAGGAAGTTTTTTGTAGAAAAAACTCATGAATAGTAACCAAGGAGTTTCAAAAGAAGAAAAACGTTAAACTTTTCTACATACATATTTTTAAATTAGCATAAGAATTTTAATGGTATTAATATTTTTCTGGCTTGTATCATATTATTATATAATATTATTTTACAGATTCTTTGAAAGTCAGTATACAATTATTCATTTGTGTTTTCTAAAACCATGTTTTAAAAATTTATAGCTATAGATGTTCTGAAGAGTCCGTATATATTACATACTTATAAATTACATTTCTTATCATTTTTAATTTTTAAATTTTTAAATTAGCATAACAATTAGAACCTTACGAGTGAAAAAAATTGGCTTGAATAACATTACTGATTCTTTAAGTGTTTAAAAATGTCGAACCGAATTAAATGATGACAAGCAATCAAGTTATTTCTATTATCACTGACGATGTTCTGCTTTCAAGATAAATGTGTTTTCTTAATGATAACGACTTGCTGAGCTGGAAATAATTGTAGTGTAATTGTGCAATAGAAAATTGGAACTTTTATCATTTACTTGCAAAAAGTTATGCAAAATTGTAAAATATCTTTTATGTTGGTACTGTAAACCACGTATATGTTGGGCGAAAGATAAGGTGTTCTCACCGACAAATGTTGCTTGCGGAAGAATATTTTTCCTGGAGGGGGTTCTCCAATCCTCTTTTTACTATGGATCATGGTCTCCATAATGCAGCGACATGCCACCACACCCGGTCGGTGTCAGTTGGTTTCAGTAGGCTGATGGACCTAACGTACGCAGATTCATCTTCCCCAGTGGACAGTAATTATACGGAGTTTTCTATATTAATAATAATATTTATTCGAATGTTTTTGTATTTCTTGAAGTCTACTACCATCTATTTAAACTTTTTTCATTACTTACAAGACATCCTAAACGTGCATGTATATGAACTTTATCAAAAGCTTTTAAAAAGTTCATATAACGCCTTGACCGATCAAACGCAAAAAAAGAAGAAATTTAAGTTTTGATGTTTTGTTTTTTTATTAAAATGGAAGCGATAAAAGAAAATTAAATTAGGTAACAAGTGCTTAATTGTAAAAAAGTCTAAATTTCCATCCGAGCTAGCAATATATATAAACAATAACCCATGACACTATAAATAGATAAACATAGTTTGGAAAAAACTGGAAAAGTCAATACATAACTGTTTATATTTTGGTTTCTTTGTGTATATTCCTATTCACGTACTACTAATTAAGAAGAATTCCGGTACAACCCAAAAATTAAAAAAACTCAACTGATACGTAATTATAATTATTAAATTCTGGCAACGCAAAAGTTTTTTATTACATTTTTTGAGTGATGCTAGTCTTTTTCTAAACTACTGTACTTCGAAAACTCAAAATCGTCTAATTATTTTTCATTTTCATCATTAAATCTCCCGGAAAGTCCAGTTTTTATTTATTACTACAATTTTCATGAGGTAAATCTGTGTATGTCACTCTACTCTCTAGAGGTGTCCATAAGGGGATTTTATGGTGTATTTTGCACCATCAAAATTTTTTAGGGGGACATATTTTGAATTTTTGATGGGGCACATTTCGATTGGGTTATGAATATTTAAAATGAAAAAATTCATACTAGGAGAAAATATGGAACAGACCGCAGCAAGTGTAATTGTGAATGATCTACGATTTTTTTGTATTCTACCTTTGCTTGCTCTGTTTTTAAGAAAATGTGAGCAATAAAATATCTTGGGAGTATGGGGAATAGGTTCTTGCGCTATTGACCTTGGGCACCCTTACTACTTTCAATATACCACCTATTTTGGGATGCCCTGATATAAAGTATCAACAAATTCAAATGCAATGATTGATATTCAAATCTTATTAACTCCTTGTTGTAACCTATTACATCCTGTCTTAAGTATTATTTCGCAACACTCCACAAACTCTTGTCGAACATATTCTTTACTTAGGACCATATTTTGATAAGTTTCTTACTTAGAATCCTTATACAAGACTGAAACGAAAAGAAGCTGTTCGTTGATTCTGATTACAACAACAGTTACTTGAAAAACTGTCGAAACTTCCAATCTTCTACAGAAAACTCATTTACACTAATGTCATCTGGCCCATTCGATCTACGGAATTAAGCGTTGGGACTAAAAAAATCGACATATTCAATTTCTACAATCCGAAATCATTCATAGAATCCTTATTGCTCCTTATTATGTCACAAATAAAATTATTCTTAAATATCTCATTGCGAGGTTTGGATTCTAATTAGATATCTCCCTTTTAATACCAAACTCTTTGGTCACCGTTATCCTCTGGTTCATAAACTTTTATCCAAAATGCTTCCTGACAGCCTTCCGATGCGTCTGAAGAGAAAATGTCCTAGAGTCTGCTTGATTAAATTAATCATTGAAATGCTATCCTACCAAAGGGTAGATTCTTCACAAGTTCCAATAATGTTTCATATTATAAGAAATTTACTAGTAATATTTATTTGTATAGTTTAAATTTCAATAACCTGAATGATAATAAAAAACAAAACAAAAAAAACAGTCAATTTGATTTAACTAAAATATGTATAGAACCATCGAGATAACAACATACCCGTTCTATGAAAATTTCATGTAAATCGCATTAACGGTAGTTAGATATTATGCTGTTCCTAATATATTCCTGGATTTAACTGTGGCATTGATACCCCGCTTTCTCTCCTGGCCTAGGAGAAACCTTGTACAGCCGAAAGGCTCTAAAAAGGAAGAGAGGGGGGGAGGGTTGTCAACAAAAAGAATCAGAACAAAATTTGTTTTTGGTCCCCAAAACAAAAGTGAAAATTTTCGATTCTGATTACTAAAACTATATTGAAGCTAAAATTAGAGACACACATTTATAAATATAACAATTGTTTCTATATTAGTATTTGCTGTACAGTATTTATTGTTCCAGCTTTCTCAATTTTTATGGAGTCTCTAAAACAAATGAAAATATTATTATTATAAAATTATATCAAGAGGTCCCAAAATTTATCATGAAACACAACACTGACCTTATTATTTCAGAAGTCACAGCGTGGGCTAAAAAGAATAATACAGCTGTTTTCGTAAACATTTTGGATCCAACCGCCAGAAAACAAAATGGAAAACTAAATTTTAAAAGTTTCCTTGTGTTGGATATAGTCGATATATAATCTAATAATGCCACAAGTGCTGATATCGTTGAACAAGTCGAGGCACTCGAAATGTCATAAAAAAATCAATAATGTTGAACCATATAGAATCATAAATCGATACATTTTCACATGAAACTTTGTTTCCGGCCACACCCCTGATGAAGACGTGTATAGTTGGATCGAAACGTTGGCTTAAAATAAAATAGTTTTTTACTATTCTTCAGTCTGTATTACGGACCCCCTTTTTTTATTTATTTTTTTATGAAATTATTAATATCCGGCTAAAATTTTGTAAATAACTTTGTCTCATCGTAACCTTTTTTTTTTTTAAAGGAAGGAAATGGTCCGGGGTTGCGGTCATAAAAAGGCTAAATAGTGGTAAAACTATTTTATTGAAAGCCAACGTTTCGACCCGACTTTGCAGGTCTTCATCAGGGCTAGAACGGACAAGATACAAAAAGATAGAGAATTGTGGCAATTACATAATATTTAGACATAATTTATAAACAATGTGAATAAGCTTATTAGAATTATAAACAGTAAGTACAATAAAATATGGACTAAGTAAGCTGAGCAACAAGATCCTAAAATAAAGTAAATAGATACTTTTTTTTTTTTCTTCATATTTCCATCCACACCTGTCATGAGCTTGACAATAAGCAGATGTGCTGTAACTAATATGAAGAAATTGGCGTTTCAGGCATGAGGAAAAAAATAGTATCCAGCAGCACTTCTTTCTGGTCTTGATTTATTTCCTTGATTCAAGAAAGGAGATCTCTCATTCAGCTCTTTTTTAATCATCTCCTGATAGGCATGTCAGCTGTGGACATGTCGTTAAGAAGTCCGTTCTGATGTCCGTGTACTTTAAGATGAAATCTGGAGTACAGATTTGTTGATCGTTAGTTAGTTGTCGTAAGTCGTTATCTAAGGTTTTTTTGAGTCATATTGAATATTTAATGGTTGACCGTTGCATTATAAAGGAAGGAGATGGTCATGGGGTTGCGGTCATAAAAAGGCTAAATAGTGGTAAAACTATTTTATTGAAAGCCAAAAATTAATGACTAATAAATACAACAGTTACAGATTTTTTTTCCGTAAGTAAATTGTGAAATTTCCACTTTATTTTTTAATTTGTTGCCCATTTGACTATTTAAAAAAAAAGTTGAACATGGTTTATAAAATATAAACAAGGGATATAAAAAGCTATTCACATTTATGAAGTTATTTACTTAAAAATCACGAATGTACAATGGGTGTGAGGTCTAGTAAAACTAACCATACAACTAGTAAGGTTAGTCTCATAGAAAATCGCTTTGACAAAAGTTAGTAAAATATAAGTCTACCACTTAAAAAAATTAAGGGAAGGTATTGCGAAAATAATAAATTTGTTGAGATAAATGGGAATAGAACTGACAAATATACACACCAGTTAAACATTTTTTTTTTCTTTAAGTAAATTGTGAAGTTTCTACTTTTTTTTATTAAATTTATTCTCCAGTTTACTATTTAAAAATATAGTTAAAGATGGTTTTTTTGGCTTTCAATAAAATAGTTTTACCACTATTTAGCCTTTTTTTGTATGACCGCAACCTCGGACCATCTCCTTCCTTTTTAAGGTTTTTTTGTTTGCGTACCAAGTAGCTCCTGTTATAAGTCGTAAAATTTTGGATTGAAATTTCTGTAATTTTTGTAAATGCGTCTTTTTTGCAGAACCTTAAATTTGTAAGGCGTATGTTCATATGGGTTTGAGTAGATAAGTTCCTATAAGTTGTTATGTATTGAACATAGAAAATAATCTTTTAAAATTATTATGAGGTGCCGAAAACAAACACTGACAACAAAAAACATCTGCTGACATCCAAGGACAGCCTCGGGATGGAGAGCAGGTTTAAAGACAAAGGGCTCTGGGGAACACCTTAATTCAGAGTAACTGGTGACGAGTAACGGGTTAAGTAACTGGTTCCTTTCAGGGTGTGGCCAGTTAAAATAATTGTACACCCGCAGAAGTTAAGGACTAACAAAAGCCATTCTTGTAGCACTCTGAATATTTGTATAAAATTTCGTGCATGGATAAGCTCGAGGTCTTAAGAGGACTCTAGACGGTCATTTGGAATTGCATTCCGAATGATCGTGCAAGGTAGTGAATGAAGTACTGATGGACGTGTCTGGCGGATTTACGAAAATCCGGGAATCAAAGGTTCATTCATGAGAACTGGAGGGGAGACTAACCATACTACTAGATAGGTTAGTTTGCCTCGCAATTCATAAATTCCTGACACAATTGAATGAATTACTGATTTTGATTAAAAATAATTAGTTAAATAGTTTTTCATATCCCTTGTTTATATTTTATAAACCATCTTCAAATATATTTTTAAATAGTAAACTGGACAATAAATTTAATAAAAAAAGTAGAAACTTCACAATTTACTTAAAGAAAAAAAAAAAATGTTTAACTGGTGTGTATATTTGTCAGTTCTATTCCCATTTATCTCAACAAATTTATTATTTTCGCAATACCTTCCCTTAATTTTTTTAAGTGGTAGACTTATATTTTACTAACTTTTGTCAAAGCGAGTTTCTATAATTCTAACCTTACTAGTTGTATGGTTAGTTTAACTAGGTATGGTGTATGGTTAGTTTAAGTAGGCCTCACAACCATTGTACATTTTTAAGTAAATAATTTCATAAATGTGAATAGTTTTTATATCCCTAGTTTATATTTTATAAACCATTTTTAACTATTTTTTTTTAAATAGTCAAGTGGGCAACAAATTAAAAAAAAAAATGGAAACTTCACAATGTACTTAAAGAAAAAAAATTAATGTTTAACTGTTGTATATATTTGTCAGTTCTATTCCCATTTATCTCAACAAATTTATTATTTTCGCAATACCTTCCCTTAATTTTTTACTAATAATAATGACTTATATTTTACTAACTTTTGTCAAAGCGATTTTCTATAATTCTAACCTTACTAGTTGTATGGTTAGTTTAACTAGGTATGGTGTATGGTTAGTTTAAGTAGGCCTCACAACCATTGTACATTTTTAAGTAAATAATTTCATAAATGTGAATAGTTTTTATATCCATAGTTTATATTTTATAAACCATTTTTAACTACTTTTTTTTTAAATAGTCAAGTGGGCAACAAATTAAAAAAAAAAAGTGGAAACTTCACAATGTACTTAAAGAAAAAATAATGTTTAAATGTTGGGTATATTTGTCAGTTTTTTCCCATTTATATCAACAAATTTATTATTTTCGCAATACCTTCCCTTAATTTTTTACTAATAATAATGACTTATATTTTACTAACTTTTGTCAAAGCGATTTTCTATAATTCTAACCTTACTAGTTGTATGGTTAGTTTAACTAGGTATGGTGTATGGTTAGTTTAAGTAGGCCTCACAACCATTGTACATTTTTAAGTAAATAATTTCATAAATGTGAATAGTTTTTATATCCCTAGTTTATATTTTATAAACCATTTTTAACTACTTTTTTTTAAATATTCAAGTGGGCAACAAATTAAAAAAAAAAAGTGGAAACTTCACAATGTACTTAAAGAAAAAATAATGTTTAATGTTGTGTATATTTGTCAGTTCTTTCCCATTTATATCAACAAATTTATTATTTTCGCAATACCTTCCCTTAATTTTTTTAAATGGTAGACTTATATTTTACTAACTTTTGTAAAAGCGATTTTCTATAATTCTAACCTTACTAGTTGTATGGTTAGTTTAACTAGGTATGGTGTATGGTTAGATTAAGTAGGCCTCACCATTGTACATTTTTAAGTAAATAATTTCATAAATGTGAATAGTTTTTATATACCTAGTTTATATTTTATAAACTATTTTCAACTATTTTTTTTTAAATAGTCAAGTGGGCAACACATTTAAAAAAAAAAGTCGAAACTTCACAATGTACTTAAAGAAAAAAAAATCTTTAACTGTTGTTTTGTCAGTTATTTTCCCATTTATCTCAACAAATTTATTATTTTGGCAATACCTTTCCTTATTTTTTTGTAAGTGGTTGACTTATATTTTACTAACTTTTGTCAAAGCGATTTTCTATTAACTAGGCCTCACAACCATTGTACATTCATGATTTTTAAGTAAATAATTTCATAAATGTGAATAGTTTTTTTATACCTCTTGTCTATATTTTTATAAACCATTTTCAACTATTTTTTCTTTGAATAGTCAACTGGGCAATAAATTAAAAAAAAGAAAAAGAAGTGGAAACTTCACAATTTACTTATAGAAAAATCTTTAACTGTTGTGTTTATTTTTCCATTTTTCTTAACAAATTGATTATTTTCGCCATACTTTTACTAAATTTTTATAAGTAGTTGACTTATATTTTTCTAACTTTGGTTTAAACGATTTTCAGGCAATAGCAAATAATTATTAAATCTCCATTTTTCTCTTGATGTCCAATAATATAAAGGACTATGTCCAAATAAGCTTTTTAAATTAAACACATTATTATTACTGGACAATATACCAGATCCATGCTGCCTGATATCTGAGCAAAAATAGTCAGTAATGATTCACAGTCATTGATTAAATTTATTGAACCATGTATTTAGTTTCTTCTAAATATAATTGTATATATAGTTTATTAGGGAGTGGGGTAGCTCAGTGGTAGGGTGAGCTTCACTGAGCTTCAATTGCTAAAGGTCCCAGGTTCGAATCCCGGCTGATGGCAGAAAATTTATTTATCTGTTTCATTGGCCTAGAGGCGACCCTGGATAGGTAGACTCTCCTGGGGCATACCCAGCCTCTATAAATTGGGTAGACTTAATTAAAAAAATGATTAAGGGGGAAAACCTGGCGGTTGAGCGTGATCTCGGTCAAATCACCTCCTAGCACAACCGTTGACCTAGAAACAGTGCTTTCTCTGAATAGTGCTGAGCCCAAGACCCTTCATGGGTTGTGATGGTACAGGTTTATATATATATATATATATATATATATATATATATATATATATATATATATA